TCATAAAGCTTTAAAGGTTCATTTCAACCAATTTTCAATCGATAAATTTACGTCGTTTTTTTATTTTTGTTAAAAATGGTAATACATATACCAAGTTTGTTTACCATGTGGTAATATTTAATCGGTTTTTTTATAAAAACGCTAATGTTCCAATTTTTTTTATTATCTTGACATTTTAAAATGCAGCTAAAAATGTGGTTTTTACATATAATTACTCTGGTGTTATTGGGAAATATTCCCTTAATTACATACCTCTCTTGGACAGTTAGAATGGGCCTAGTTCCCGCAAATATGCTCTCGAAAAGAGACTACTAAAATTAAAACGTTGATACTGAACGATTTACGCATTGTAAAGGGTTGGAACTTGTTACCAGTGGGTTTCTGGGGTTGCTAATGAAGAATCTGAAGTCAGTTTTTCAAAATTCGAAATGGTGGATCCAAAATGGCGATCAATTTTTGAAAAAATTATTTTTTATCACAAATAACAATAATTTGAGATAGTGTTAATGAATTTCAAAAAAAAAATTTTTTGAACCACTCTAATGTACATATATACATATATAAGTATGTGGGCATAAATTTGTCGTTTGTTGTCGTCACAAATTTTTTTCCTAACCTTCCTTAAAAAAAACCTGTAGTAGCCACAAACGAAAAACCAATGAAAAGTAACAATTTATTTTAGGTAGCTGTAGCTGTTTTGGATTCTCCGAATTAGAGTTTAGACATATTTATGGTGTGATGGTGGTAAATAGCACAGCTTTAAAGAAGTCATTCTGCTCTTCCTTTGGCGGTGGCAGAAATGCGTTTTGCGAAAGAAGCTTCATTCGAAAATACCACACATACATCTATATATGTACATACATACCTTCATATGTAATACCGTATTAACTTTCGCCGAATATTCGGTGAGCTGCGTGGAGATATGCGTATTTACTACATTAGGGTGTTACTTAGAAATCAAATGAGCGATTTTTTTCAGTCTCACCTTTACAATCGGTAATACCATGGTCACATACAAATTTCTGTCCCGATTGGAGACGGTTAAGGCTTGTCGCAATGGGGTCCATGGCCAGATGTTCCATGGAGACTCGAAAAATTAAAAATGTTTTTTTTTTCATTTAATACTCAAAATCGATGCTACTATAGTCGAAGATATCACATAAAAATTTTGGTCCCGATTGGAGTCGGTTAAGATGTCTTCATAGGGTAATCAGAATTTTGATCCCTGAGCGCCACGCCTTAATCGACTCCAATCGTGGCCAAAACTTGTATGTGATATCTTCGACTATAGTAGCATCGACGTAGGGGTTGAGGCTTAGGAAATTTGATATAAAAATTTTCTTCCTACATTTAAGGACCACCCTAATACATACATACATATCTGTGGACATTTGACAAAACAACTTAAGCCTATCTTTCACGGACAAACCAAATAGCATATGAATGTCGACAAAACATATTTTACCGGCAAAGAGAAGATTGTTATAGTTCGAAGGAAATATTAAATTATTGTATCGCTATTCCCAACCCGTTAAATGTTTCTGTTTTCAAACACTGAATGCTTTCTTTTAAATAAAATTTATTTCGATCTGGTGGTAAAAAGCGCTTTGCCGACTTGTGCTATTTAGTTTGTCCGTGAAAGATAGACTTAAGTTGTTCTGTCAAATGTCCACAGATGTTTATCTATGCACATGCATACACTCGTACGAGCATGCAAAAGCTTCTTGAACTAACAATTTATGGTTTTGGTTCTATTGTTGTTCTTTAAATTGTGCTTACAGTTTTATGCTTCCTAATAATGCGAGAAACTTCTGTGTATCAGAATTGCCGAACCGACCATAGGGCGAGCTTAGTAGTGCATCTAAACGTGGGAACGACTCGCTACCGGGCTAGTAAAGTTACTTTAATTTTTTCCAAAGCCTATGGTAAGCGCCAGGTGTGCAACAGGAAGCGGCTTCTACTATAAAATAAAAATAAACATCCCGGTTAAACCGATGGAAGCTTCTCTGATATCAATACTTGCATTTGTAGCGATGCGGCGAAAAAGGCATACATATATTTAAAATCAATATATAACGGTTATTTACAACAATCAGTTTTCTCTTGGTCTATGCGCATAAATTACGAAAATCTTTATATCCACTTCCTTTTCGACCACAACAATTTTTATTCACAATAGATACAGATTTCATGTGACAGTTGAATTGACAGGCCAACAGCTGATGCAAGACGGGTTGCCATTTATATTGTTATTTTGGCACCTAATTTTGGACTCTTACTGACTTATATGAGCCCAGAAATATGCACACGCATGTACTACGTACTTCTAAAAATTATATGTGATGGACGTTTAAACATCAAATATTCATAACCAGCGTGCAAACCGTAATTTTTTTTATTAATATAGCAAAATAAAGTTAATAGTTGATATTTGTACATTTCCATATTACTAACCCTTTGCCTGAAAATATGTTCCTGTCAGTATCAACCCTGCATTTAATAAAAACAAACAAATTTTCGCAAGTCTGCTATCGTACGTTAGAAATATAGCTTATACTAATGAACTTTGATTTGTTTTTTTTTATGGAAAAAGTGCAGTAGTGATTACTTATTTGTTTAATAACTCAAATTACCGTTTAGCTATCGGTGGCACGTTGGTGTGAAACTTAATGGCGTTGTTTATGTCACCATACGTGTGAAATTGGAAGTTTTTCAGCGCACACCATTTACATATGCCAACCACCCACCAACTATTGAAGAAAATTAAAAACACGCACATTTCAATTGTGACGCAGCAAGATTACAATTGTTAATGGCTTCAAATTCGCAGGTTGGAAAAATAGTGGTCGTCGTTGCACTCACATTTTTTCTATACTATTTCTTTTGGGTATCCATATTGCCGTTCATGCTGATAGACGAAGGTGAGTGCGGTGCGAGTGAAAAACAACGTTTCAATTGCGACGACAGAGGCTGTGACCGGACCCATTGTATTCTAATTATGCTGGGCTTGGAATCGACCGCCTCAAGCTTTGTGACCAATTTAGTGATCAATTGAAAAAAAAACGCGTAGGCACAAAGATTCAACCGTAAAAGCCGTTTAATTCATTTCATAACTGATACATTTTTTATTTTTCCACATTATTGTTAATTTTGGTTTTTATCTTTATTTACAGCAAACTTAATACATTCGTTATTTCCACCGCTTGAGTATGCTTTTATATTCCCGGCAGTATTCGGCGTAATTTTCCTTGGTGGCACGTCTGCCTACACCTTGTACCATATCTGGGATTATATTTGGCAGCGAAAAACTATATAAAAACGTGCGTCATTAAGTGCCGTAACATTTAAAAGCAAGCAATTAATAAACAACAATAACTATCAATATCATCAGGTTGAAAAGGTTATCTAACTTCAGCCATCCGCTTGTAGACGACATCAACCGGTTGGAAACCGAATTCTCGTCTTAATAATTGCAGTACTTGTTTTGAACTCATTTAGTGCAAACGGAAGAAAAGTCGGCATGCCATCGTGGCTGGTGATTGGTGTTTCGGGTGTAACCTGTGGCGGCAAGACAACGCTAGCCCACCGGTTGCGCGACTATTTCAAACAGATGTGTGGTGCACCACTTTGGAGTACCCCATACATTGTGGGAGATGTACAACTAATTTCTCAAGATGATTACTTCTTGCCAGTAGATGATTTGCGCCACAAATGGAATGATAAACTGAATGTAATTAATTTCGAGTTACTAAGCTCTCTGGATATGAAACAGATGCTCTCTGACATAAAATGGACCATGAAGGGACGTTATTTGGCTACTGATCCAATCGAGAATATTGACTTTATCAACGAAATGTCCATGTCCACCAATTTCGAGCACTACACCCAACCAGTTACACAACAAATTTACCAACCAAATAACTTAAAAGCCAACCAATGTTGCTTAACATCACGACATCAAAATCAAACCCAAACCCAACGTAATCAACATCCGCACCAGCACGCACAACAGCATCATAACCATTCGCATGCTCATACCAGTACAAATGCTGCACATAGTTCGCATATAATGCGCATCAATTCACAACTTACAACACACTTGCGTGATAACAAAATTAACCTGCTTATCCTTGAAGGTTTCACTATTTTTAATGAGCCGAAAATATTGAAGTTGTGTAATATAAAATTCCATTTCCATCTGCCATATGAAAAATGTTATGAACGGCGTCAGAAACGCACCTACGATCCACCTGATGTCACTGGCTATTTCGAAATATGCGTCTGGCCGCATTATGAAAAGAATTTTAACGAAATACGCGATAGGCAGGATGTAACGTTCCTAAATGGTGAATTGAGCAAAGAGCGCCTCTTCAAATTTGTGCTGCAAAAGATAGCGAATCACTTTGAAGAACGTTGTGACGTAGCGTGTCCGCCACCACAAAAGCTACTCGGCATACCGAGTTGCTTAGCGAGTGGTACAGTGGTGAGCAGTGAGAGCTGTGTTGGCAACAGTGCACATTTGCCGGCCGGTGTAACAGGTAACCCGCCGAAAACATGTCCCATGGAACAGCAGTAAGTAGGAGGAAGGAATATTTGATACATTATTCTTTGTCTGCACCGTGATTTTTTATATTATAAGATCGTACAGAAAGTATGCATAGATTCTTTAGTTGTACTAAAGTTAAGATCTATTTGAGTCTACTATTCATAAAAAGGTTTATAGTTATTGTATATTTATGTAAATTTAAGATGAATCATGCGTACATTGTACTCAATCATATTGTAAATATGCGTACAAAGTATGAAATCAGTTGAATTGATGTAAGTGAATAACAAAATTATTGAAAATAAACAAAAAAAAGAATAAAAAAATATACACCGATGATTTTACTAAATGAAGATGAGTTCCCCGTTTTACAAAACACGCTAAGTTAGGTGAATTTAAGAAAACTCGTAGCGCGTGTATTGACGTCATCCTTCCCAATAAAATACACAGAATATCTGTTTAATAATCATGTTATTTATTATTAGCTTTACTGGTTTGCTACAGTGAATGCCTTGCGCAAGTCTTCAGTGTTTTTTTCAAAGATTTTTGTTTAAATTTCCTCATAAACTTTTTTAAGTTTTGCTATCTTTCATGCATTGTATAAAGTAAACATCCTACTATTGTGGTATCCGATTTCAAGTTATGACATTACAAAGTTACATACATATATTTAGAAACTACTATATGAAGTGCTTTCAATTTACATTATGTAGAGTGGAGCGCCTACAACTTAAAACAATTTTTTTTAAGGTTCGCTAGTTCTAATATATGTTGCTATAATTATTGTTTATTTGTATGTAAGTGTATGTGTATAATCAATGATTTAGTTTTATATGCGAGCTTTGCGCGCATAGCATTCGTAAACTTCAATACAGTGCCGCCGAATCCGAGTGCCAAAAGCAAATATAAAACGGCGATAGATGATGTCGCCAATACGACGAGCTGTAATTGCTTCTATTTGTATGAGTTTTCAAATAGGCGTATCCTTATAATTGTATTTTGCTTTTGATACAGTATTTCTGCGATTCTTAAATTTGTTCTTTATGTAACAAACTTCATGCGATTATTCTGCTTAAGTATATATATATATTTTTTTGAAAATGTTTGATTTTTGCGCGCACGTACGTATGTAGTACACACATTCTGGTGTTTTAAATTAATGCTATTTCTGGTTTAGCTTTATGAATTTGTTAATTATTTCAATTTCTACTGCTTGTCGCCTATAGCGCATCCCAGTCAATTTGGTTGTTGTAAACTTCTTCCTCCAGCCATATCGAGTAGTTTTCTTTGAAATAATCGGTTAATTCCACCTTGCGATCCCACCAACCCGAGTGTCCGAAGAATGCAAAATCTGAGTGCGATAGTATTTCATCGCTTGGAAATCCACCTTCTACACCATAATCATTTAACTGTGAATGCCCATTGCCGCCACCGCCAGTACCGCCTCCGCCAAAACCATTGGCGTCAGTGCCGCCTACCATATTACTGCCACCCCCAGCGCCACTTCCTATATTACCGGATGAGTTATCCGAGTTGCCGGAATTCCCATTATTGCCACCTGCACCACATTTTTGTGTAGCTTCTGGGTAGCGACGCAAATTAAAGCGGTCTACACAGGCACGTAGTGTACATTCTTCCGCTTGAAAATCCCATGGACGCGACTCTAAATCGTTGCCAAACGCCCAATCATCGTTAAGACGATGCCGTACTTTTGCATAAATAGCACTCATTGTCTTCATATTCGATTTTCGCCACTGACGTCCCAAATATTTTGTCTGCATTTTGAGCAGCTTCAAGACATATAATTGCATCATGGCATGACGAACTTTCAGTGTTTTCTTGAGTATGGGTGCCGACTTGAATACAACTAACATCATCACGCGCGAATGCTTCCATTTGATCAACTTATTAAGAATACGCAGCAGGTTGATACAAGAGAAGACGTTACGCCATGAATAGTAAGGCTTATCAGAGACTTCGCCGCTGTAAACAAAACTTTCCCCCGAAAGGTCTGGCTGCTCGCCAATAACACAGGAGGGAAAGTCTAAAAGCGGTATGGTATTTTTCATCCCTACATACTCGGTGATAGTTTGATTGAAGAACTTCAGCACTAATGGTATACAATTGGCGAAGACAAGATGCTGGGACATAAATTCGAATTGATATATGTGGTTAATTTTGAAATGTTTCAAATACAGCAGAATAATTGCTGATACCGCTTTGACAATGATTTCCTTATGCCGACTCATGTCGACAGTCAGCTTTTGGGAATCTGTTATTGGCATTTTCTTGGGTAGAACATCAGCCATTATGTTAATGCTTTCCGTTTTGGATTTTGACGTGGGCGATGCTGCTAATAAAACTTTCAAAAGTGCAATCATGTACTGTGGCAGATTAGGCAAAATTGCCTGATAAAGTACTTCGGCGGGATTCATGGCTATTTCATCCTCTTGTGTAGATATTGGATTTCGTGCAATTTCTTCCTCCTTCTTTATTTGCACATCGGCTAAACTAACGTACATATGGCGTCGCAAAGTCTGAACGCCCTCATGTATGGGTTGCGGCAGTCCAGCCAGACTTTCATGATCATCGATCAGTGAGTAACCGATAAATTTGTTTCGCGATATATCCAAGAATTGATCAATGTCCTTTTGACGGACTTTGGGTGCCCACGGCAAACGAGTTGTAACTTGCACTGGTAGTACAGGTGGTGGCTGTGAGAAGCTTGGCTGATTATTAGGGTTAGCGGTGGTGGCAGAAGGGTCCTCAAACTGACGGTAGAACTGCGAAATATCTTCTTCTTGATTGCCATTGCCGCCATTATTGCCTGAAGGGGCACTTTCATTTCCAGGAGTAAGCTCCATGTCCATTTGTTCTTGCTCATCGAGAAAACGTTGCTTCATCAGCGATCGTCTGTAATATTTTAATTTTATATCCAATTAATACACAAAATTTAAATTTACTCACCTAAACGCGTTCCGTTTTGGATTTTGATTATCCAAAATATCAGTTGCGGTAGCTGGTGGTGAGCTAGCACGCATATTCTTTGTTACCTCCAGCGTATCTTCAGTGACTGGTTCAAGGCCAGCTTTGATACGATATTCATTTTTTAAATTTTTAAGCGTTTCCATGCCGCCTAGTCCCAGCAATGTAATTTTCCATAACAAGAGTACGACTTTTTTCATTGGAAAATGAGGTGCGGCACCACTACAAAAACGTGTAATCATACCCAAAAGTTTGACCGCAAGCAGTTCGCCGTCAGGCAGAGGAGTATTTATTTCCTGCACAAATGCTTCAGCAATTTTTTTGTAATCTTCGCTTTCTTTCTCTTTTTCATCTCGAATCGTTTCCGTTATTATATACAACACCGAAAGTATCACGCGCAAGTCTGTCGAATCTACCAAAGTAACGTTGGTTATCTTCACAGCTACAATATCGGGTGAGCAAGCGCTCTCTATTTCCATATTTAATAAATCAATAAAGGAAGAGAACACGCCCAACTCATACAGCACTATAACATTGTCGCGCGTAATCTGATGTTGCTCTTCATCAGACTGCACTTCAGCCCAACAACCTTGCGCCAAATACAGAATGCAACGTGCAGCCTGCATTCGAAATGAGCGACTGGAAACCTCGAGCTGATCGATTAGTTTCATTATAATACTGCGTTGAGATGAAGCATTCTGTTTTTGCCAGTTTGGTGGCAAGTCATACATTTCCATTTGATCTTCAAACGCTTTTACATTTTGTTGGAGTTCATTGAATTCCGTATAGCTATAGAGTTCTGCAATCTCGTTCTGATACGTATCTACATCAGCGTATACAAAATCCAAATCCGGCCCATCACAGTTCCCATCGACGTCATGCGTATCCTGCTCGAAGGAATTGTTTATTGATGATAGCATCATTTGTCAAAGCTGACAGGCACCGCCGTACCTCCGCTGACAGATAACAAACTTTATACGTCCTCAAAAGGCGGTTTGCAGAATTCTGTGCTTGATTCCCCGTCTTGCTTCTTATGCGATGGAAAGAATTTAGAATTTAGGCCAAGGAAAATCTGAAAATTTAGATTTTTGTTTGTTAATATTTTAAACTGCGGGTGTCCAGAGAATTTCTGTATGGATTACCAAAATATTAAAAATTTATCACGCTGCACTTAAGCAGGATAACTTTTTTTGTATGAGTAAAGCCCAGCGTTCACCCAATTTGTTTTATCCAAATCTTGTTGTTGTTGAGACAGTCTGGGTGTTGTTGGCTTGACTGGGCTCTGCTCGTACAAGTTTCTTAGAGCCGCCCAACTATAACTTTCGCACGCATTATAAATGTGTTTTGTATGTTAATATAACCAATGATTTCCGAACAACTAAGTTTTTAGTGCTTTACGATATTTTTAATATTATTTAACTGGAATAAAACAAAAATAAAACTTTCTTTTGGTAGACTATTTTCGTTCGTATGACGGAAAATTTTCTTTGACAATCGATACAATCCACAAAAAAGTGTATACAATCCCACAGGATGAAAAAGGGCAAAAATTGTTTAATAAAAACTCGTATTGAAGAATAAAAAAGCAATTGAAGCTTACAACCGATTTACATGATTCAAGTACTTACTGTTCTGTTCAATTCTGTTGAATTCAAATTTTTGGGTCTTTAATTGGGAAATAACAAAAATATCAAAAGTAAAGCAGGAAAGTTGAAACGACTTGACGGTATAGACCAGAGGTGGGCAGCTTCGGCAGAGCATTTGTGGAGTGTGCGTGCAATTGATGTCACTGTGTGCGTGCGAACAAGTCGTGCGGTTGAATGAAGCTAAAACTTATGTTTTCGTCCATGTAAAATCTGTCAAACGAAAACTAGTTTTCGCTGAAAACCACTTGAAAACTCACGTTCCACTCAATTCAATCGGTGTCTGAACTAGTTTTTTTCGACTATTTATCGAAGTGGGAGTAATATTTTATCATCTTTAATACGTCAATTTGGATTTATTGTTAATTGGATAGCAAAAATAAAGTAATCATGGAAGTAAAAGGTTGTTAATGAAAAGAAATTGAAGGAAAAGTATGTTGGTTTTGCTTTTGTGTAGCAAAACTGTAAACAAAGGATGAAAGAAATGCCAACGAAAACACCAACAGTCGGTGTGAACAGCCTTCAGCCCACAATCCAAAATTCGTTTCCAAGGTGTTTTCGTTGTCGGTCAGAACATGGTATAAGAGTAAACTGCACAGCACTGAGAAAAATCAAATTTTGATTCAAATTTTCTATTAACTAATATTCAAGACAAAACGACATGACATTAAATCTGCAAAAAGGACTTCCTGGCTGATACACGGGAATGTAGACTTTCGATTTCGCATTTTGACAGCAAAATGCGTTGCCACGCTTAACCGCACATTGATTCCAACAAAAGTACCCGGCGAATTGCAACCATGTGTGGAACGAACAATCAGCTGACACGGCGATGACAAGGTCAAAAACAGTTCAGTGATTGGAAGAAGGTCTTGTTTTCTTAAAGCCGGCTGAATTTTGTGTTTTTATTGGAGACAAGAATTTAAAAGCAGTAAGTAATCATTTATAACTAATTATCAACAATTTCTATCCAATTTATGGTATTATTAGTTTGATGGACACAGAAAATCTTGATTTTTCTAAATCGAAATTACCCAGTTCATAGCAGAATGTGAACTTTGTACTGAAAGATTAAAAAATTTATGTATATCTTTTGATATGCACATAGTATATGCAAAATTGTATATTAATAACTGGGCATGTTTCTGTTTATAGGGTATACATTGGTTTTACAATAAGCTGCAAATTAAATTCCATGGTTTATTTGTAAATTATTTTCCGCACACACAAGTGAATATACAAAAAGAATTTCACAATTTTCATGGCTAGTTTGCTGCATTTTTATATCGGAGCGTTTGTGACCGCACTCGGAACCTATTACTACTATCAAAACCACGGTCAAGTAAATAAAAAATATCCTTAACAAATTTTTTACATAGTAATAATTTAGCCTATTAATTCTTATGGGAATGCACAAATATACCTACATATGTAGGTACATATGTGTATGTACATGTTAATATGCATAGAATATATTATATTCTATTTTAGAAGAGACAGCCTCTATAAATAAACTATATTGAATAAATTAAAAAATAATTCTATACATTTTCACTTACATAAAGATGCGCACATATGTAAATACATACCTCCTGCATGTACATACATACATACATACATACATACATAATATACCCTTTTTACAGCATTTACGCTTAGTCACTCAATTTGCAACAAAGGGATTGCATTGCAATATTGATACTAAATATACACATTTATGCATACATATGTAT